ACGGGGAGGTCGTTCTCGTCTATATCACGACCATGAAAAATGTATGCGGAAGGGATCCGTGTGCCACTGTGGTCCCTAAAAGCTCACATGGGCTTCTGGGCAATGAAATAGTTACGTAAGAGAGTCATTAAATAACAGTTCTTTAAAATACGCTGCAAAGCTCAAAAAGGGGTGCTTGGGGCAGACTACCAGCCACTGTACGGTTATCGTACAGTTCTTATCCTTGAGACGGAGCAGACGTGGCACTCGAACATGGCACAAAATGGATTACTCGTGGGATATTACGGTTTGACACAATGGTCGTCTCAAGAAGTGTTGGAAAGAGACACGTCCACAATAGTGTCGAAATGAAAATATTTTACCAAAAGTACAGCCACCGGCCGTTTAGTTGAACTGCGCAGCCACCTACCACTAATTTTATGGTTAGTTGACCAGAATTTTCTACCAACCCTCGCTCCTAGCTCGGCACTGGTACTAGATTACTGGGGAGAATGTTGGTGAGAAGGAAAGTAGGTTCTACAAGGGGTCGTAATCAGAGACTCAACTGTTGGCGTGCCCTGACTTGGATGGCAGTCAGCGCTTCTAAGGTGTTAAATTGAACAAGAGATTCTGGAGTGTTGTACCATCATCGAATCGGCTGCAAAAAGCATTTATTGGAGTGCAGTACACTCGAAATCCCTGAGATGTGGTAGGCGTGGCTGCGTACTTCAACTAAACGTGGCGGTGGCTGTGCTTTTGGTGAGATATTTTCATTTTGACACAATTGTGGTCATGTCTCTGCCAACACAGAACAAGATGACAGTTGTTTCAAAGGGAAATCTCCCATAAGAAAACCATTGTGCCATGTACAAATGCCACCGTACTAAGACTCAGGGATAAGAAGTGTATGTACAGTCGAGTCTGCAGGCGCTGGGATGTGTCAGGAGCGAGCAACAGACAATAACTAATGGGGAAAAGGAGCAACGCTGTGTTAAATCCAACCTTCCTGACGTGCACCAACATCAGCAGCGGAAACGATCACAGATCCCTTTTCGATATTGACCCAACAGCAAACTGACGTACTTTCTCTCCACGATCTCGCATCGGTACGGGCAGTTCATCATTATGCTGTTCAGTTTAGCGCTGATTGTGTAGTTGAAAAAAGTAGTCCATGCCACAATCAGAGGCACAGCGCTCTGAAATGTATTTCACTGGATCTCCATCTGTACCTTTTTCGCGGTATAAAGTTGCTATTGGACATTAGGATAAGAGAAAGTCTTGGTACGTCAGTATCCACGATCGACTCCAGATCGTGTTTGGTTATTTTCCTTCAATAAATGTTGAAGACACGGCCAAGATATTAACGCCTTACTTTTCGGCTTATTCGTCTTCGACGAAGACTGGAAAGCCAAAGGAAATGTACCACCTCTGAATACCATTTTCAGAACAGCTCACTATAGACTAGAGGCATCTGAGGAGGTCCTTAGCTCACAATTACGTACTGCCCCTTTTTGAACGTACAGCTAGTTTGCGCCTCGACCATCGAGTTGAACTCGTCGTGGGTAAGTGCAAGTTACCTGGCTCCTCAATCCGGACCGGCTCGCGATTGAGGCCAACACAGCTCAGCAAATGGTGAGAGCTATTTTGCAGTGACTAGGCATTCATCATTCCTGTTCTTTTTGGGTACTCACTCTACAGAATTGGGTGGGGTAGAAAAGGATAGCCTCGGCCGAAGAATACTGGAGGCTGGGCTCCCAGACCCACATGGGCCAGTCCAGGACACCTGGACCTACGCAGCAGAGGTCATCCTACAGTGTGCAAGGGAGGTCCTGGGAGAGACGCGAGGTGGTATCAGAGGAGACAAGGCAGCCTGGTTCTGGAACGAGGAAGTCCAGGGGATCGTCAAGCAGAAGAAGGAAGCATATAAACGCTGGCAAAAGACACGGAGCCCAGAAGACTACGCTGCCTACAAGAGCTGCAAGCGACTCGCCAAGGCAGCCGTTGCGGGGCCATTCTCGGGAAAGCAGCCGAAGTTAAGAAGAGGTGGGGCGGAAGAGCGTCGT